TGTATATAAGTCTTATATATCTTTAAGGCTTACACATTAAGGCTCAAAGGCTAACTGTTTATTTTCAGTATAATTCTCAATGTAGATTATAATTTAATTTTATTCTAAATGATAGAAAAATGTTTTACTGTACTTATTTTTGCATTGAATCATGGCTACATTAATTAATAAGGGTACGCAATGCATTGTGGCATTTTCACATTGCCAGATTGCATTTTGGTTGATTATTACAAGAATATCATCACAAATTTTGCTTTGTGGTCTTATTGAATATGCAAAAACACATTGCGCACATTTTTGAGAATGCCACAATATGAAATTCTCATTGTGACTGGATCTGAGAAGTCAGAATGCATTGTTGTCATTTTTTTTCCTCAATAAGCATTTTTGTCTTTGGGTCTAACATATGTATAATTATAAGAAAGCCAACTGAAAAAGGACCAGTAAGTCTGAAATGCATTTTGGCATAGATATATATCTGAATAAGTATAAATTGATATATTAATTAATATAAATTAGGCTGTTAATGTTTGATATGTCTATTACAGTATATGAAAATTATTGTTATTACTTACAATTATAAAAGGATGAAAACATTAGTAAATATGTCTTAATTTCAAGTGTACTTACAATTGTATGTTGTGAATGTGTACTTACAATTATAATTTAATGTAATTGAAAATAATTAGTAATCATTGTTTCCAGATTCAAATGATGATAAGAGCTCTATGTTCTATTTGTTCTGTTACGTTTAAAAAGTGTTTGATTCATATTTAGAACAGTTTGATAAAAGCCGTTAAAGATGGTAAAAAATGTTAACACTTTCAGAATTTTAATCCACAACTAATTTAAAAGGTTTAATTAATATTTTATAATGGGAGAAAAAACAAAAATACATACACATCTAATTTTGCTTTTTATGATCTATTTTATCTATATACAATAATACCCCAAACTTACGCGATAGGTGGGACCGAGCGATAACTGCGTAAGTCAAATTCACGTAAGTCAGGGTATAATTTTGCAATTTGTGTAAAATCCAAGTCGGATGTAAGTAAGCTAATAAATGTTCTCGTTAATCTTATCTCGTCTTGTGATTCGTTCATGGTTACAAGAAATCACCACATAGAGTCTCTCAAGTCTCCGTAGATATAACAAACACAGAAATAAATAACACAAAATAAATTGTAATTATGTGTCGATTCTGCATGACACATCCGAACATGTAAGCTGAACAATAGTGTGGGGGGAGTGAGTAACCAAGAGTTGCATGGCACTCAAACAAAAGACGAATCAACGAGATTTGAAAATTGTGTAACTCCGGGTTCGAAGAAGTCGACGTATTACTATATGTAAAAATGTCTGTCTGTCTGTCATGCATTACCACACTGTTTATCTGATTGCCATGAAACTTTGGGAAGTTGTTTAATCCCACGAAGGTTTCTGGTATAGTACATTTATCCTACAATAGATGGCATGTGTGTATACGAGCATTTTACTGTGTGTTCGATCGATTTCAAATTGTGAAGACCATTTCCCCCCTCCAAAAAGTATCTCTATATGTGCATTTGTGAACTGTTATTTACGATATTTGTAATAATTTTTGTTTAATCACTTTATTTCAACTTTTTTTTTTTTTGCTAATTATGTATTTGCTCGAACTTTGTTAAAACCGTAACTGTATCCCGAACAACAACCGAAGTTGTAGGAGGAAATTCGCCTATTTTACCGATCTAGGGATTCACTTTTCCAAATTTTAATATCAACTCAAAATAATTTAAAAAGACAAATTATAATAAAATGGTTTATTATCCAACTATCAGAAATTTCACAACACGCCAAGGAAGAGAGGAAGGAGCAATTAAATAATTAAAATTGTAAAGGTTTAAAAAAAATATATGAAAATGGTGAATATCGTACTTCTGACAATTGCTGCAAGTGTGTGGGCTAGATTTGGAGAATCTGTGCTTCTACATGTACAACTGTATGTGCCAGCTCACGCATCAGAAAACCTCATTTATTCGTGTACACACCAAACAGAAAAACAAAAAATATCGTGTATCCACAAGCACTCCAATAAATAAATAGAATTGAAATGACACTTTGAAATGTTTTCCCAATGAAAATGAATAATAATAATAAGTTTCAATAAAAATGATAAAATGTAAATTGAATTTTATTATAACGAGCTTGCTTGAATTTCGTTTCTTCTGAGATCACAGCAATGCGCGACGGGTAAGCTAGTATTATAAAATGAAATCAGACAAAAATTTCACATCCAAAAAGAGTACATGTCCAGGGAAAAGAGGAATATGGTAATTCTATGATAATACAATGACAGTTCTATAAAAATTAAATGTAAAATGTAATAAAGCTTGACTTTTCTAAACATGCTATGTGAAAGACAAAACATATCAAAAAACATGAACAGAATATTCAATGACACAAAGCAAATCAATAGTAAAGTTACATTTTGTAGTACTTTCATGTTTTACTTTCTAATTGTGTTTTCAGGTCAATATTGTTAAATAAAAGATAATTTACAAAAGTTTTTTTAAAAATCATGAAGTGTATTATAATGCAACATGATGTTAGCAATTTCATCATTCTTTTCATTAAACTATCATACACACAACCTTTTTAACCAGTAATTGAACTTTAACATAATTTCCAAACATTTTTTTTTCATTGAGTATAAAGTATAAGTCTTTCTGTGAAAAATAAAATAGCATGTGATTCAATGCCAATACAATTTACTGTATGAATTTCCTGAAAAATATAAAATTTTTTGGAAGCTTTGATATGTTTTAAAATTTGACTTATGATTATTCTTAACTAGTTATATAATTTTTTAATTTAAACCTCACTTTGTAAAGATCCTTTTACAGTTTTTATGTCAGTTAACTTCTAAATGGAGAATTATCTTCTTCCTGATAACTGGATCAATAACTAAATACGCCACTCAAAACTTCTTGATGTTCTAGCAAATAATTTAATGTAAATTTGTCAAACATTTTTGATCTTATGCAAATTCTACTTCTCATGTCATCATTGAATCTAAAACAATTTTGTTTAATGACAAAGATAGCAAATAAAAGAAAGATGGATACAGTATACTTTCAATTATTTGGTTTGTGGATTATCTGTGTATGTCTCAATAAAAATTTACATCAGAAATACAAATATTAGCATTAAAATAAAAAAGTCTGTATTGCTAACTGTTGCTATCTGAAAGTGCACATTGAGCATTTGATCTAATTTTACCAGTCATAGATGACTCCACCCACTGCTCTATCTGACCATCTGGTTTCTCAGATGTTAACAGGACCCTAATATTAGAAGGCTAATTAACCAACCCTCACCCTAGAGCATTTTTAATTTAGAACCCTTTGTGACTATTGTTTCCTATGTAGTAATGGCTATAAATATCTTATACTGTATAAAAGGGAATAATAAAGAAAGGGTCTAATACACAAAATTCCTGCTTTTAAAAAAGATATACAATGTTAATTACAACCAGGTATCTGTTCTTCCTATATTGGCCATTTGAATTCAAGAGTTGGTCACTATCTTTGTTCATTTATTATTACAGAAAATGCTTTTAGCCCTAAGTATAATTAAATTAATTAAAATATCTATAACAGTGAGGCAGATAATAGTAAGGGCTTATCACACCAATGATATTGGGAAAAAGTCTGATGAGACAGCAACCCATTTCTATCCAATCAAGGACACTTTAACATCAATATACAATATTATTACAGAAAATGCTTTTAGCCCTANTGTTTTCATCATTCAATAGAGGTTAATTAAATTTCATTACTGTTTAATCTTAAATTGGTTTAACATTAAATGTCTACTTAAAAAATGAAATTCAATCAAGAAATTGTTATTTCATAATCCATCACACCAAAGATAATAATGCTAATGCTATTCTATATTTGATATCAGATTTACTTTATTATATAAAAACTGTTAATAAAATAACAATTTACGAAGTAAAATGATTAAAAGAAATTTACAGGGAGGAAAGGTTTATAAAATTCATTCCATTTCGCGGTTTAATATCGCGTGGCACTTTTAAAAAATTTAAGTAAAATATAACAGATTTATATAAACTTACCTGGAATTTTATTTCATGTAATTAAAAAAAACATTCATCCACCGCAGACGGGTGAAAATAACAGGCGAAAACCCATTGTAAAATCGTACGTTTTCAATTTGAAAGAAATGTTTTCAGACATCAGACAACCACGTGTAGTCACTTGTCGTTATTAAGAAAATTCTATCCAATATTAAAGTTATACCAGCATAAAATAGTACAAACGTATCAAAAACATCCAAAATAATTAAAATGCATTCAATTCGGAATGAAGTAACGTGTATATATTATATTCATTCATGTTTTTACACAACTCGACAAATCTAAGCCCTACCATAACGTACGCCATTTTGGTTTCTTGGACAAAGGATTTACGGTCACGTGATAGAAAATGGCTGTTCTATCTATTGATAATTTCTAGAAGGGGAACTTTCGACATTTTTATAAAAATGATCTCATTGTTTAAAACTTTACAAAAAAATCCATAAATTATTTATATTTCGTCAAATGATTTATTACGCTTCAAATTTGTCTTTAAATTATAAAACATTTGCGGGAAAATCGGAGGAAATAAAAAAAATTAATTTATTTGAAAATATTCCTTATTCAAAAATTTATTTTTACTCGATAAGTAAATAATAAAACATAAAATAACTCTAATTCAAAAATATATTTATGCTTAAATATGCATTTATAGATAAACAAAGTCAGTTTCATGCGCCATCGAGGTCGTTGTTTGTGTTACAGAAAAAAAAACCGTGTTTTTCAAACTTTACAACTCAATTCGATTATTTATTATATTGTTAATTAAAAATTTTTATTAAATAATTTTTCCAAATTAATTTCTTTAAATTAATTTACGGTAAATATTTCTACACGTTTCTGTTTCGTATGCGTGAAAGCATTCAATTGGATCACGGCGAATACTTGTACGGAAAAGAACCAATGATCTACATCGTATATCGTCTCGTTAAAATTATGTGTATGTGCAGTCAGCTTTAGTTTATGTTGTGTAGTAGTCAGGTAAGACCTTGAGGGATGAGTGATAAAATCGTCGACTATCGTTCGACGTATTTTTTTTATTTGGTGACTAGCATACATTAAAAGTTCAAAATAGGTCCAATATTGAGCTGCATGGGATCGAACGTATCTTTCGTACCGCCGAATCGTAGAATGGGTGATAGGATTAATAATTCTGACACGGATACTGATCCAGATCCCGACATAGCAACCATTTTACAATATCTCATCAGAAGGTAATTGTTTTCCTTTCAATAGCGTTACAAAATCTAAATGTTATTCGTTCAACGAAATATAATGATTAAACGTAAAATAAGTTATTAACACGTTTTCGTCACCGATGAAAATGAGAAAACAAGTATTGTGAAAGCTAACGAAATGTCTTGTGATAATGTTATTTCAAAGGTGATTTTTTTCTGAAGAATTGTTTACATTTGCTGAAATTTAGTGTAATTGAGTCTACACAGCTGAAATGTTTGAAATAAACATGTTTTCTGTCATATCTGTCAATGATTACCATTGCACACCATGAATTTGATTTTGATAACTTTAAAAAGTCTTATTTATGTAGAAAGTAAATAGAACAAACATTGTAAATACTATGACTGATTATGAAAAGACTGTGCAAATACATTACTCGTGAATTAATAATTTATTTTTATGTTTAATGTTAATACATTGTATATTTACTTGTGAGCTAAATCTTATTGCCATTTGTTTCGTCTAGAAAGTGTATAATTTGACATTATAGCTACGTTTAACTGTTCAGTGTAGTATCTTGGTATATGCTTTTCTACACTAGTTGAAAATCTGTAAAATAGAATACCATATCCTTTGTCGATGAAGATAATGTAAGTAAAGAGTGGTAGAAATGGTAATATGTGTGCTATAATTCATGAGAATATTTTAAAATGATTTGCATGCATTCATTTAATATGTAAATGATATTTTTTTGTTATTTTTATATTAAACTAGCTGTTACCCATGACTTTGCCTGCGGGGCTTTTGCAAGCAAACCCCATTTATATTCAGCATTTCAACAACCATAGTAATTGTTATATAACACCTACTGCTGAGAATGATGAGAATTGCTGAGAATCAAACGAACTATTTTCAATTTGATTAATTTTCTGGAATATTTACAATCGTTCTATAATCAAACCAATATGCAATAACAAATTCAAATTTAAAACGGTTCGAACATTTGTTTAAAAAATTGAAATATATAAAAATATTTATAACAATGTCTGAAATGCTATCAATTTAATACACCTAAGTACTCAATGAAAACTAAACGTAGTCGAAAACAAAAAATCGCATGTAAAATAGTACAGTAGAAGCCGTTCTTCAGGTTAAGTTTTAATCCTTTTGTCTCCCCCCACGGAGGAATCTCCAAAAATCCTTAGTGTGCGTTTTCATGACATACCCTAACTATGTACAAAATTTCACCTATAGGTTCAGCGGTTTGCTCTGGGCGATGATGAATCAGTCACTCAGTTAGGACAAGTAATTTTATATATTTTGATAACCAAAAACATGAATTATCAATGGAAATTATATTATTATTTTTTATTACTTAATATCTATCATTTTATTATATTATAAAATACTTTTAATGATANGAAGGGTTATCTTATGCCTGGAAATCCTTTTACAATAACGCAGATTAACACCTTGTAATCAACGTATATTTTCTCTCCCCCTTTTTTGGTGGCTTTATTATTTTTATGTTATTTGCAAGTTACTTATAGATTTTCAGAAGACGCAAGTCTGATGAATTACGCATGCGCATTTCGGTTTCTGTTTAATTTGTATTTCATGCGTTCTTTTTTAACGTTGGTTCAACTGAAGATGGCCGTTTAAAAATGGTTGAAAACGTTTTTATTGAACATTTTTTATTGCTGGATAGTTAAAGGTTTACTTTATTTATATTATTTATTCATTCCAGTATAAAAACTGAAAATATTTGATCCACAAACATCACTTGCTGGAAAATTGTATGTGGTATGCATTTAGTTACTTCCAAGGTTTATTATAAGTGTCGATTCAAGGATAATTTTGAATATGGCATATGTGAAACAAAAGAGACAGAAATTAGAAATCTGTGAAAAATTTTGAAAAGGAGAATCAACAAGTCACTAGTCAATAATTATGGCATAAAAAGCAGTAAAAAGAAATTAATGTCCTTTAAGGAATGAGATAATGTAGCTGTGTGTTCAAACTGGAAGAGTATGAAAACATTTTCATAAAAGAACCTGGATTATCAGAAGAGAGCTAAACAAATACCAATTTCTGCTGCAATGAGTGCAGAGAAAACAAAGTTCTTTTATGAATCACTAGGATTAAATGCAAATTTAACGCATCATCTGGATGGTTAACTAATTTAAATGGCAGTATGGTATCCGACAGTTAACCATAGGAGAATATCTTTGTTCAAACATGAAAACATTGAATTTTGTGATTTGTCATCTAAATGTAGTAAGGTATTGATACCAACTCCATTGGGAAGCCCTAATATTGTATAGGTTGATTCTAAATGTATGCAAAAAATTTCAAGGATTGATTTTTCGAATAATTTCAACCACTTTAGTGGTTGAAATTATTAGAGGCCCATCTGAAGAGGGCCTCTAAAAGACGGCCGAAAACGTTAGAATATTAAAATCTTTTGACTGCTGGAAGTAGTATTGAGGTGTTAAGTGTTGTGTGCACTAAAGTGCATAGAACATATGTTGAAAATGGCATAGTTGTAATAACTGTTTAAAATGACCACCTTACAACCATAATACAGGATTCTATTCTCCAAATCACATTGATTGGTATATGTGTTCACAAATATCAGGAATGTGTCAAATTATTTTGCAGGATGTAGCAATGCAATTCTGCAATTCAACATTTTCAATGGCACTACATTGAACTACATTGAATGGCACTATATTAAACATTCTGTAAAAATATGTTCATATGTACTTTTATAGCTAAAATTATTTGAAGAATCAGCCCCTGAAATTTTTTGCATGTATTTTAGTATGTATATATATATATATATGAAATTTAAACATTAAAAATTGATTATATGTAATTTTTTAGATAAATCTACAAACAGAATTTTGACATTTGGAACAGTGGACAGGGATAGCTCAGAATGTTCTAGAAGTGGCTGAGCCATCCTTTCCCTCTCCAACTACAGGCCTGATTAACTGTAAAGAAAACAAGTCCACTTTGCAACATAAAAGGAATTTAATGCAGACAATATTGTGTATATATGTTTGTGGTATGATTGCATCATTCACATGCTTAGTAGCTACATGTATACATATTAATAGCATTCTTATTACTTTTAGTATTACTTATTTACAAATTTATTAATGCTACTTTTCTTAAATTACTTAAACCAAAAATTAGTAAGTATTTTCACTTTTATTATTAAAAGATAAATACATTAAAAATTATTTAATAATTTTTAAAATTAGCAGACAATAGTCAAGGCTATTTTTTAGCCAGAATGTGCTTGTATGTTGTACCAGCAATTGCACTCAATAAAAAAAAATTGTACATGTTTAGGCAAGAAATTTGACTGGTGCAATAAAAACAAATGAAACAAACTGGACCACTCCTATCAAGAATGAAAAATGTCATGAGTCAACTGGAACTGACATAAAAAAGCAAATGAGATTGGGCTGCCGCTTTTGTTGGATGCCCTCTTTTGATGAACAGGCAATTCTATTTGGTAATTGTCTATCTCTGATATGTTTTTTTTTTTCTTTTTAGAAATGATGTATGAAGAAACGCTAATGATATTTTGAAAGGAATATGTAAAAATGTGGTTACTAAAAGGGACACCATTTATCAACTGACACTAAATCCAAACAAGAAAATAGGGAAGAAAGTGCGGATGGAAATATACAAAAAATATTTGGAAAATACTCTAAATGATACAACATAAATGTTTACCTTTATAAAGAAAGTGGAAATAATTAGCAGTTTTAAAAATTGTTTTTATTACATTTTTCTGAAAACAGAACTTTAGTTACTATTTGTGTGTCTAGCAGTAACTTTTTTTTTTAATAAAATGAACACTGACAATAATAAAATAAATTTTTGCACAATGTTTTCTAAACAATAATTGGATGAATGAAATAATTTAAGCATCTTATTGGATGACCATTGCAAACTATTACATCTTGACTTCTTAGGAAGCTCAGCTTTTGTTAAATGAGATACAGTAATGAAATAATCTGAATGTTGAAAAATGCTTAAAGAAAAATCAATTTGGTTTTTCAATATCCTTATTCTTTTGTCTTTTGCTCTTATATAATTGGCGATGAGTGTGTTTTGTTCTTCAAACTTTGTTCATTCTAACTTGTCCATGCTTTGCCTATGGGAATGATCAAAATTTTTTCTTGACTTGTCTAAAGGAACGGGAGGCAATAGCTTCTACTCAAAGTATAATATAGAGCATAATTTTTGAAAATTATATCATTTCACGTATTGTAGATATAAATGATTTTAATTGCAATTCATTAACATTTTACAATGATTTTGAGAATGAAAATATAGAATTTCTTATTAATCTTTTATGAATATTCCTTTCATAGTGGACAAGTAAGAATTATCACAGCCGATTCTGATTGTTTATATCAGGAAGATTCAGATGATGAATTTTGCAGCCCTCCACAAGGTAACAATTACAATATTTTTTATATTAATACAGGTATACCTCAAGTTATGTCGTTCTCGATTATACGTTGTTTGTCAAAAAATATATGGAAAAATAAAAATCAAGTTTTAAGTCATTTTATTCGACTTTACATCCATCCGCCACAAATATTGGAGTCGTAATATCACTAGAAAAGCGTTAAAACACACAAAATCATTAAAATATGTACATTTACAGTAAATGTTAATATAAATCCTAGAGAACGAAACATGAAAACATCTGTGTTTCTGTGTTGTCGTCTTATTTAGCAGTCTTTAAGTGCTCAATATTGGTGTTTTCCACAGTAGTTCCAATAGCTACCGTTTGGCGTCATTGTCAGCGCCACTCGATATTGGTAAATTTAATATAAATTAGTTTTTCTACTGTCACAAGATAATTTTAATAACTGTATTTGTTATTTAACCTTACAAAATCATTTTATTTTATAATGTCTTAGAGCAAACCACATTCACAAATAAAGAGCCTGTGATGTACTGTAAACATTGCCAAATTGTAAACATGTACATTTACAAGTATGTACTATATGTACATGAATTCATAAATTTAGATTACTTTTTTCTGTACTATATTAAAAACTAAAATTTATTTGTTGGTAAGCTTAAAATAGATTCTTATTAACCACATATTATTAAAAATGCATTTATAAATAAAATACAGAACTGGGAACAGTTATTTGTGGTTTATCCTAGTGACGAGTAAATTCGGAGACAAGTAAATTTGTCTTACGTTGTTTTTCGACTTAAGTTGCCTCTCCTGGAACCAATTACCAACATAAGGCGAGGTATACCTGTTTAAATAAATTGCTTTAAATTTAAGATATAAGATATTTAATTTTATAAGTTATTTTTATTTTATAACTTCATACTTTTTAATTTAACACTTTTGATTTTATATTTTATGATAGCATTAACATATGTATTAATGAATTATATTGTTAAGTAGAATATTAATTATGATAATCTGTTTATTAGGCTGCAATTTGAAAAAAATTGTAGGTCTATAAATTTCCACTGTTGTCTGTCCATCTGTCTTTTCTTAATCTCAAGAACAGACTTAGATAGATGTTGAGACCAGATATGGAAACCTTAGGGACAGGAGGCCCTGATTAACTATATACGAACTTCCGATGCTAACTGGAAGTCACATTATTTCAATTCAAAAATTTTTCCCTGAAAGGTGTTAGATAGATGACCGGCACAACTCTATTGTTAAAGGAAAAGTATGATGTACAGGGGCAAGCCACTACTAATTTGAGGTGGAGAGCATATACAATAATACCTCGACTTCTTCAAATCCGGAGTTACACAATTTTCAAATCTCGTTGATTCGTCTTTTGTTTGAGTGCCATGCAACTCTTGGTTACTCTCCCCCCACACTATTGTTCAGCTTACATGTTCGGATGTGTCACGCAGAATCGACACATAGCTACAATTTATTTTGTGTTATTTATTTCTGTGTTTGTTATATCTACAGAGACTTGAGAGACTCTATGTGGTGATTTCTTGTAACTATGAATGAATCACAAGACGAGATAAGATTAACGAGAACATTTATTAGCTTACTTACATCCGACTTGGATTTTACACAAATTGCAAAATTATACCCCGAATTACGTGGTTATCGCTCGGCCCCACCTATCGCATAAGTTTGGGGCATTATTGTATATCAAATTAAATAGATTAAAAATTGCAAACTGGCATTGTGACAATATCACAATAAATAATTGCTCTTTAATAATTGATTTTTATTTGAGTAAAATACTCAAATATCAAATAATTATTTGAATGTTACTATTGTAAAATATTTGGCAGAATATCAGCTGGTTTATTTGGAACTATCTGAAACAGGTTTGAACTTTAAACCTTACAATTAGGTGAAGGGCCGCATTATTTGTTCAATGATAAAGTTTATATATGGCCTATCTTTAAGATAAGAAGCATAACTGTGGGAGTGGTGAGCCACAACCATATGGAAGGCATATCCTCCAGATAAACATGAGAAAGATGTGCAAGGACTGATATACAAGAATGAATGTAAACTCAATTTTCTTAAAATCTGGACTTCTTCATGTCCATCTAAACGATATGGTTGTAGATTACATGTGCTTTTATTTTTAAAAGTTATTGGGTAATGAAAAGTAAAAAATTAATCTTGCTATCAAAATTCCCCCCTTCCTATGAGAGCAGAATCATTGTTCTTTCATTACAATTTATCATTCTTGAACTGATTAATAATAAATAATTGCTCAAGGTCATTTTTAAAGTCATATTTTTTCAGAAAGATATAAATAACAATGTTTTTATTTTAAATATTTGAGATTTTAATTGTTACTTTTATTGTATTTTGAGTTTTGTTTCTTATATTTCTTTTCTTTTCTCTCTCTTTCTTTCCCCAAACTAAAATGACATAATTTGGCTTTGAGGAGATATTAAGTCTGAATATCAAATACATGTGTCATTATATTAAATTTTCTTTTTAGAAAAAATATTTATTAGTAAGGAATTTTCAGCAAAGCAAAATTATTGTTTTCATCAAAAATCAAACATGGGTATTCCTTGTACATAATAACAAAAACAAAGACACTGAGTTCAGCGTTACATGCATAAGTTTTTTTATCGCAAGCACTTTCAACAAACTTATAGTCATCATCCTCAGGCGAATACAGATATTTACCAAAAAATTTTAAACAAAAATAATCGAATGCAGAATAGAACGCATAAGATACGCACTACCTTGATGAGCACCAAGACGATGTTATGAGGGGAAGACACATCACCGAGCTCACAAGAAAGGTACTTGAGCAGGGTTACAACCCTTTATGGTCCCAAGCGGTTATGCTCAAGAGCTGCAAGGATCGAAAAACGGTTTTTATATGGGAGTCTCTCCTCACTACCACCTCGGACACTTGCAACACCCCTACGCTCGAGCTGCCTAGTGTATGGGTCACACTGTATAAGTGTTTAAGCGAGTATTAGCAGTCTCTAGTATGCATGTAGCGTGAGCGTGGCTCTGCGCATGCGCCAGCTCGCACTTCACGGAGCTAACTGCTCGTTCAGTTTTCGAATTATGTTTAAATATTTACTTCGTATTAACATAGTTTCAACTTATCTTATGCGTTCTATTCTGCATTCGATTATTTTTGTTTAAAATTTTTTGGTAAATATCTGTATTCGCCTGAGGACGACGACTATAAGTTCGTTGAAAATGGTTACGGTAAAAAACGTATGCATGTAACGCTGAACTCAGTGTCTTTGTTTTTGTTATTATATATTAATTTGGCGTGTTAGTCATCCTATTGATTACTCTTTGTACAAAATGGCATTCCTAACTGTTTGAGAATTGGGAAATCCCCATACAACATAGTTTCACTCTAATGTTGTTTGAGAATTGGAGTCATTTCTATATAAAACATCACAATTTTTAAGTACAAACACTATCATTTAATATTTTTTTCTAATTCAAGCAAGCATGCATGCATGTTGTCTCATATTTGGCCATGGATTTTAGAATATTGAAATTTTTAATGTTGTTTCATACCTTTCTCCCAGTTTTCTTTAATGAGACCTGATTGTACAATTTTTCTTCTTCCTTGTCCTAGCTTCCTATTCTAACTTTCCTATAAACCACATATTGCTGTTAGAGCACTTCATCAACAAATGAACTCAAAAGACTGTCACTGTTTCTTTTGTTTTTATAAATTAAAAGTTACTACATAAAAATATTAAATTTTTAAAGATCTCTTAGGCAAATGCAAGCAAATGAAAATACAGTGATACCGTGGTTTTCATCAATAATTCATCTGAAAACAATCAGCAAAATCCAAAACCAATAAAAACCAAGGCAATTATTTCCATATGAATCAATGTAAATTCAATTAATTCATTCTAGACACTCCAAAATTCATACCAAAAACACATTTTACAGAGAAAAAATATAGTGTTTAATACTAAAAACAATAAGAAATTAATATAAAATGAATATAAAAGACTAATGTAAAGAATAACTGAACATTTAATATGACATTCGAAAGACTGCTGGCTCTGGAAACTTTCTTTGGTCCCATGGAGCTAAAAGGAAAGCAATGTTTGGCTAGATGTGTGGAATAATGCTCACACAATGAGAAACAATGCCACACTGAGTAGGAAAATGTGTGGGTTGTCCTTTGTTTTCACAAAATTAGCTGCAAGGTCACGTGGGCATGCTGATGAAAACAGAGAAATTTTTCACAAAATAAAACAACAAAAACTGAAACTGGTAATAACTAAAGTCAACGATATTCAAGGTATTACTGTATAAGATTTTATGGAAAAAAGTAGAAAAAACCAAGATATTGCTGATACTTCGATTAAGGTCAACTGGAAAACTTGGAAGATGACTATATTTTTTTCTGGGAAAAAATGTTCTCATTTAAGTGCTTATCAATGAAGAAAAAATTAATGTTAGCATGCAATACTTTCAATTATGATTGTTAGTTAATTATTGATTGCTTTCATAAACATATTTCTCATTAATTAAGAAAAGAAAATAGTATACTTTTGCTAATTTTTGGAACCTAGCCCAATGTTTTGTACTAGTCCTTTGTTTCATATAGCACAGATTCGCATAACATGCCACTTTTTTCCCAGAACCTGACTATTGTGTTATATGGGGATATCTGTATTTAATTTTAATTAAACCCAAATAAACTACCTGATTATTGGGCTATATTAAGGCTAACTTTGATAATTAATTATTAAGTAATTTGACTAGAGTTAGGCGGCGAGGCCATCATGTAAATTTAATAATTATAAATATTAATTTTTTAATTTTAATTTAGAAAATTTTAGAAGAAAGGAATCAGTCTGGAAGCAGTACTCAAACCTGCAAATCATACAGATGCATTGCCAGTTATTCTATCTGGACCTCTGATTAATAGTTCTGATCTTTGCACCAGAAGTAGTAATAATTAAGATATAATCATATTGGTCACTTGTGCCATCTGGGAACAATTTTAACATCCACAGTCTTCAGTCTACCAAGCCAAAAAAATCTAGTGTCATGATTATCTGATAGTTTGTTTGGTTTTAATTAAAAATTCAGGTTATGGATTGAATGTTTATATACAACCAGCAGATATGCCTGGGCAAAAAACAACAACAAAGATTAAGATTATTAGATTATTTTGTACTTCTGATCCTTCTATTCTAATAGCCTGGGACGCCTCTAGTGGGCATTCTAGCAGCAGCGGCGTCATTCTGTGATATAAATAATAAATTCCTATTATGAATAAAAATCATAATATACTGAATTTCTCACGGTGTACCCTATTAAAATGCAGCCAAAAATGCAAAAAACCCACATCAAGTAATAATTTACTGAATTTATTGTTAATTTAAATAATAGCTAGTGGCCATTTTTGGCATACAGTGACAAAAAGAAAGGAAGATTCTGGTTTTTCAGCTTTATATAGTTAGATATGCTGGAGTAATGCAATATCTGGCTGATAACTATGGAAAGTCAAGATGGTAAAATCATCCCCAGTCAGTGCCATGATTGACCAGTATGAATATATCTTAATTATTAATAGTTCTGGAAGCAATGATCAGATAGAAATCCAGTTAGCAAAACTGACAATGTATTGCACAATTTGCAGGAGTTGTGAATTCAAGTCTTGCTCCAGGTCAATTCTTTTCTTCCAGAATTTTCTAAATTAAAACTAAAAATTTGTTTATAATTATTAAAATAAGGAATTATTGATTGTGACATTGTCACAATGCTCTCAATTTTAGTAGTGTCTTGCTCCTGTACATCATTTTCCTGTCATGCTGGTCATCTGTCTAACTCAATTCTGGAGAAAATTTTTGAATTGAAATAACTTGATTTCTGGTCCAAACCGGAAGTTTTTATATAGTTAAAATTGGGGCCTCTTGCCTCTAAGCTTTCCATATCTGGTCTTTACTTTCATCTATCTAACTCCATTCAGAAGATTAAAGAATGACGGATGGACCAAACCAGTAGAAATTTATGGCTCTGCAATTTTTGAAAATTGCAGCCCAATTAGTCTTAATATGTAACCTTACAATCTAGTAATTTGTTTGGCTTTAATTAATTAAAAACTTGAATTATGGATTGAATGTTTATATACAGTATATGTAATTTTATACTAATAAATCCTGATACAGTAGAGCATCATTTATTCAAAAGCCAGTCAACCAAAACATCGGTTAATTAACCAAAAGCGTTCCAGTCATCAAATTTAAATTTCCACTAATGCTGTGGTGCTGCAACCTTTGACTACTCCAATATTTTTATGTTGGTGTGTGTGTTTTAGCTGGCAGCACTAGCACTTTTGTGTGGTGTTTTTCTGAGAACTGTGTGTTGGGACGTATGTTGTGCTGAATCAAACGTTTTTGATACTAGATTAACTTCTAAAGTATAATTTTTTTTGTTTTTATATTTTTCAATATATTTAATTTGTTTGTACAAAATAAAGAAATAATTTTTAACGATACAATAGCCACAATTGTTATAAAAATTTTTATTAGGCTTAACATTGACAAAAATTCAACGCAAACCAACACACAATAGAGAAAAATTTCAACATGGGATAGGTTAATATATTTTTTCATACATAATCGATTATCCGAACGACCCCAGTCCCCAATTGATTCAGATAAACGACGCTCTACTGTATTGTAAAAACTGTTAAATTTGAAAAATAAGCTTTATTTTTTTTATATATTAGAAAATGTGTGTGTGTGTGTACATGGTCTGATCAAAAAATATCCACCCTGAGGTCAAGGAAAAAACACTAGTTACCTTCAAAGTGGGCTCCTTTTGAGTTCACACACCAGCAATGTTTTCAGTGTTGGAAGCATTTTTTAAAATTATTTATTGGGATCTCTATCACACACTTTGTCATGTTAGTCTTGATCTCTGCATCTTAAAATCTTTCCTTTGATTGGCATCTTGAGTTTGGGATAGTGCCAAAAATTGGCTGCAGCTATGTCTGGGGAGTAAACAAGCTGCTGAACCTGTGCAATACCATGTTTTGCAAGGAATGTCTGGATGAGATTGCTCCAGTCCACAGAGCATTTGTCGTGATGAAAGAACCCATTGTGAGAGTGTCAGAAAACAGTCAGGTAATACTCCTTTGTCACAGTTTGACCAAGAGGGGCATACTCATGAACTATACCTTAGTGGTTGAAAAAACAGTCATGTTCTTCATATTACTGCATGATTGCTGAGCCTTATTTGGTCATGGAGACTTGTATTTTCTACTAGGATGATTTTTCCTTTCTCTCAGGAACATAGATTATAACCAGAGATGTGACCTGAGTTTCATCTCTGGTTATAATCTTCATAAAATCAGGATCTCTCATGTTCTGCCATTTTCACTTAATCACTAATGTGATGATAACAGTGTAAACATGCAACTATCATGGCTGCTGGATGGGCTCACAAAATTCACACACATGCAATAGGGTTCAAGGTCACATGACAACATAGTTCCCTCCCCAGCTTGTAAATACTTGCAAAGAAAAAATAATAAAATCGGATACTTTTTGACCAGATCTTGTACATATAAATATATTGGTATATTGTTTATATAAAAATTAATAGTGTACTTTCAGACAACTAAAACATACTTAAAATTTTATTTTTTTACAGCTGATCCAAATCCTGATACATCTCTTTTAGACGTAAGTATTTAACTTTGATTTAATTCAAATTCAATATTAACATTTATTTTTTTTTTTAAATAATTTGTATTTTTACATTATAGGTCAGTGACTTGAGACAGACAATTCTTTTACACTCAGGGACTTTTAATAAAAATGATGATTGGAAAAAAAGAATTTCCCCATCTTTATATTGTCTTCTTAAAAAAGTAATAATTGCTTTATAATTTATAATAAAGATAATAATTTATAAAATTGAGTTATTTATCAAGCTTTTGTAAGTTAAGATTTAAAGAACTGAACTGTAATGATGTATTTTTAAGATTAATATTTTTGTATTCATTATTACTTTATAATAATTAGATAAATTTTTTAGTAATCTCTAAAACATCATAAATTAAATTTCAAGTAGATTTTAAGAATGAAAATGTATTTTTTAATAGCATGTTTTTTATGCAAAAAGGAAATGTTTACAAACAAAAATTATGAAATATGGGATATATTTATATTAAAAGAAATTATTGTTTTTCTAATTATTAATCAATTCTTTTATTATCATACTAATACAATGGAATCCAGTTATTATAATCATGGATAACATTATCAGTCATCTATTGTTATCGTAATCAGTCCCAAAGCACATTATATTAAATTAGTTTAAAGTAATTCAGCTATTGTTATTAATGGTGATAATTATACTTGAGGACAAACAATAAAAATTCTTTAAAAATTCATAATAAATTCATAACCAAAAGCATACCTTTTATCTTACATAATGGGAGAGTATGACAAGATTTCTTAGAAAATATATGTACTGTAGATCTTTACTTTAAGCATATCTTTAGAAATAAAAATTTCATTGCAATTTCTTTAGTTTAATTTTGTGATCTGTTGAGTGATGAAACCGCTATAAATTGCTCTATAAAAAGTCCTTTGGATCATGGCAGAAGCAAAATAAAAGTGTAGATTTCAAGAAAAACAAAGAATTTTAGAGTGTTATAAGTTGCCCAAAATGAGTCAACCTAGTGCAGCTGTGATTTAAAAATTTCACAACCACTCTTGTGTAAAATCTCAAAAAACATATCAAACACAGAAATTTCTTCACTTTTTAATGAAAACATTGATCACAAGAGAGAATGATCTAAGAAGAATAGTCAAGTTGAGTTGTCATTAAAAATTTGGTTTAGTAACATTTGTAAAAGAATGCTCTGGTTAATGGATCTATTATGCATCAAAAAGCAGACTTAGCAAAAACTGGGTAAAGAAGGTTTTATTGCAATTGATGGATGGTTCAACAGGAGGAAAAAGCAAGAGAATATCTTGTATAAACATCTTCACAGTGAAGAAAATGTGCTGATTTGTTAGCAGCTAATGAGTGGATAAAGACAGTGGCCAAAAATTATTTCTGAATATTTACCCCAGGATATTTATAATACAGATGAAACTGGACTCTATTTTTTGCAATGTGTGAACATACTTATTTGTTTAAAAATGAAACTGCTAAAGGATTTAAATTTTAAAAGAGTGAGTGACAGTTCTTTGTTGTGTTAATATGATAGGTGATAAGCAATCAGTTGTTATTGTTGTGTGTTGGGTTTAGTGGGTTATTCGGTTCACACCAGTGGCATAGTACACAGCCACTGGTGTGAACCGAAGTCAAGGCATAGCAACCAAAAACAAAAATTAAATAAGTGCCTGTGTCTGTATTCAGGAATTTCCTAACAATGTGGCATGTATTCAATATAGTGGCCTTCTGTAGTGTGATGTATGTATTTCTATTCAATTGTAATGTTCCCAGGCTTTTGTGTAGTGTGTGTGGTATCACACCTGTACAGGAGAGAACGACAGGTACAATAAGCACCCTATCCATCCTCCACAGATGCCTTATTTCCTGGGCAAGTTCTGTGTACTTGCTAATTTTTTCAGTGCATGTGCTATGTCTATAATGTATGTGATTTTATTGTGTTTGTCAATGAGTGTGATGTCTGGTCTGTTGTGGTAAATTGTTTTATCTGTGATTATGGCTCTGTCGTAGTACATTTTGTGCGTGTTGTTTTCCAAAAGTGTCTGTGGAATGTATTTGTAGTATGGTTCGTGAATGTCTACCAGTTTGTGTTTCTTTGCAAGCTCTTGGTGTATTATATTTGCTACTTGATTGTGTCTGTGTAAATAATCTGTCTGTGCCAAGAGCTTGCACCCAGATGTAATGTGTTGTATAGTTTCTGGCATGATGTGACATTTGTGTGTTGTATCTTTGAGTATGCGTTTTCTGTAGTTTTTAGTATTTATGACCTGATCCTGTATGGCAATCATGAATCTTTCCGTCTCCCCAAAGAGGCATCTTCGATCTAACCAGCTGTTTGACGCAGTTTTGTCAGCAAAATCCTGGGCCAGGTCGTAAGGATGCCTCCCATGGAGTGCCTTTTGAGCCCATGATTGCTTGATGGTGTCTATGCTTTTTATATGTTGTGTCAAGTCTGTATGATGTGAATGTAAGTTTAATGGTATGTTATTTGAGTCTGCTAGAGTTACTGCTTTATGTAACTGTGATGTTTCTTGTTTCCTGTAGAAAAACTCTCACAATGACTGTTTGTAGTGAAGGTTAGCTATGTCAATCAGGCCACATCTGCCATCTTTACGTGGAAGGGTTAATCTTTCTATGACAGATTTAGGGTGATGTTGTTTATGCTTAATAAGTGTTCTTGTTTTCCTTTGGAGTTGCTCAAGATCTGTGAGAGTCCAATGTATAACTCCAAAAGAGTATGTGAGTACTGGGACTACATATGTGTTTATTGCTTTAACTATGTGTTTTGCATTTAGCTGTGTTTTGAGAATGGCATTTAACCTACTTTGATATTCTTTAATTAATCTTTGCTTTATTTGTGTATGTTCTGTTAGTTTGGCCTGTTGGAATTCTAAATACTTGTAGAACTCACCCTCTTCCATGGATTCAATAACGTCTCCATTTCCAAATGCAAAATCTTCTTTCTTCAGGATTCCTTTTTTTATGTGAAGTGTTTTGCATTTGTCTAAGCCAAATGCCATTTGTATGTCTTTGGTGTATGAGTGTGTGATTTGTAGGAGTTGATGAAGTTGTTTCTGTGTGGATGCATACAGTTTTATGTCGTCCATGTACATGAGATGTGACAGCATAAGCTGTGTTGTTTTTTCATGTCTGATGTTGTAGCCATATTGCGTGTTGTTTAACATGTTGGATAATGGGTTCAGGGCTAAGCAGAACCAGAGTGGACTCAAGGAATCTCCTTGAAAAGTTCCTCGCCTAATGAATATCTCATTTGTTTGTATGGAAGTGTTACTAACCCTGAGATGTAGTGTTGTTCTCCAGTGCTGCATAGTGTTTTGGAAGAATGCAATGAATGATGGATGTATTTTGTACATGTGTAGAATATGTAGCAGCCAACTGTGTGGAACACTGTCGAATGCTTTTCTGTAGTCTATATATGCCATGTGTATGTTTGTGTGTTGTTTGTGTGCTTGCCATAGAATGACTGAATCTATGAGTAACTGTTCTTTGCATCCCCTGTGATTTCTA